CTTCACCATGTGACATAGCTCCAGAAGCAGACAAAGAACCAAGTGAAGGATACGGACGCGATAGCAACGCTTGAAGTAATGTTGAATGTGGGAAGAGGCATCACAAACTCAGAGGGTTAAGAAAACGTTGGAAAGGCAAGACTTAGGGAACCTAGTGAGTCGGGTTACGCTGCCTAAATAGCTGGACCAACTACGGCTAGTCGCCCTTTGTGAGTGGCGATAAATTGGCTACGGAAAAAAATACATGGAAAATTTATATATGGACGTCATTGAAGTGATCCCAGCGCACATTTCTCAGCCAGACGTGGGTAGCGGAGCGGTGCCATTGCACTCGAGAAAGACCAAGCAGATGCAATAGAAGTACACTTTAATTTCCGCAAAATGTGCTGCTCTATATGGAAGGAACTACAACTTCAGCGTCAAGCAAGAATAAATCATGGTCGGTCAACACGCCAGTCTTCGTAGTACAATATTGGAGGAGAGATCCCATGACAACCTTAATGGCGTTTCATGATTCCGTAGCACCTTAACATGTTGATAATGACCGTCAATGTAACTCTAGTTTGACCGATGAACTTCAGTTCGACCGATGAACTTCGAAAAAGAGTCCAATGCGTTCAACTTGCATTTCTGCTACTAGCCTATGATCATACAGAATAATGCCATTCTGTATGCTGCACAGTTACAGTCTCGAGCTCTAGGATGGCCCACTCTAATTAATACCCATTACTCAGTACGCAATATTTTCACGAAATTGCAGGGTCCTGAGGAGCTTTGCAAAAAGGTCAGGTCGCGGTTGTCTGATGTAAATTCTACCAGCAATACTTTGTTTTTGCAAAATATAAATTTGAGATCGTCTGCATGTCTTAGGCCGGTCTGTCCACCAATTTAGTCAAGAGATATCGTCATCGGTTCCATCAGCAAACACTTACAAGTATCAGCTGGAAAAACCATAAATATGGCATGCGGTAATACCTCATATGTCCCAGTTCAAGTGTTGGCGAGGTATCACGGTCCTGAGATATTGATCGTTTAAAACCCGAATTGTACCAGAGCTTACAATTTAACTGGAAACAGGAAGGTCCCGAGAGTTAGAAAATTTTGATTATCGTAGACAGAACTGAAGAATGCTTTCTTTGTTTGAAATTTATATTCTGCGAATTTATTCCAAAATTAAGTCACGAGAATGCTTGTGATAGCTCTTTTCACAATGTTGACTATGAAAATGAATATACAGTGTGTGACAGGGCTATTGGCGCAGGAAGGCGCGTGGTGTTGGGCATCACATTGGAATGCTATTTCTATTTGGGCATGAAATTGAATAAACAAGTTCGAGCACTTAAGAGTGCAGATGTGGGGTAAACTATACGCCTGAAGAAAAAAGAGTTTCCTGAAACAGCTCTATTTGTCAAAGATAACCGATAAGCGTGCAAACAAGCCAAGAGTAGGTTCACTTGTCGCGCTAAAGCTGCAGACATTCCATATGTAGGCTTTAGTCGCTGTGATTCAGAAACCACTGATCGAACATGGCCATTGAATGTAATACGCAGACATCAAATGCTGGTTGTTGAAATTTACCACTTTAACGTAACTTGCTAATGGGGGGAATAGGCAATGACTTACAGTTATTGTAATACACTGCTTGAACCTGGTTATTGAATGCGTTGAATAGGTGAGAAAGGTAAGTTATCGGGATCAGTTGCATGAGCATGGCTGCTGTACGCAGTAAATAAACGGCGGATGCAAACTATTGACATTTAAAATAATCCTTTCTTATTTTATTTATTTATTGATACTACTATCTCCTTCGGGAGATGTGGTAGGAGGGTGTACATAATGTTGTATAAAGGCATACATTTCTAGTCATTTTAGCGCACGTAAATAAGGCAATGAATGTCATCATTATACAGTATTGAATAAAAATTAAAGCAAAAAAGAAAACAACAATAAAAAACCTACAAGAAATACCGTCAATCGCAGGAGTTACAGAAACTGCGGAGGTTAGCAATGAGTAATGACTCAGATGAAGCATCTATTATATGACTGGGTAGGGCATTCTAATCGTGATGGTCCTTGGGGAAAATGAGAACTTGAATACATCGACCCTACAGCTGTATTTTTGTAATGATCTACAATGAAAATTTCGCGTGGGGCAATTATGAAGAGCAGGTGAAATGTGTTTAGAGGTGTCAATATTAAATCGGTTGTTTAGTAGCTCGAGCAAAAATTTTAATATTTGAAACATGCGTCTCTGGGTCAATGGGCTAATGCTGGAACACACATATAGTTCGAAAACCGGGTATTGTTTCTGAACGTTTTTATATATAAAACGCAAGCCTTTTCTCTGAATGGATTCAAGTAAATTTATGTTGGTTTTAGTAAATGAGTCCCGGACAACGGACGCATACTCTAATATAGGCAGAACAATCGTTTTATAGGCTGTTAATTTTACACTCTATGAGGTTTATTGCTTTTAAATTTCGCCGGAGAAACCAGAGCTTAGTTAATGCCTTGGGAACAATGTACCTAATATGGGTGTTCCAACGCAGGTCGTTTGAAATGACTACACCGAGGTATTTATAGGAAGTCGCTTAGGCTAGGAAAGTATTGTTAATAAAATAATTATAGGAAAGAAAACTCGTTTTGCGGGTTATATGCATTCAAACACATTTGTTAACATATAGTGACATCTACAACGAGTCACACCAATCGTGGATCTTGGATAAGCAGCTGTGAAGTAAAATCTGGTCACTAACATCATTTACCTCAGTTAATATAACAACATCGTCCACAAATAAACGTGCTCGCACAGGAACGTTAGCAGTGTTTTCGTTTCTAAAAATTTTAAAAAGTAAAAGCCCAAGGACTGACCCTTTTGGAACGCCTGATAGCACAGGGACTGACGAGGATGCACTAGAGTTTATCTGGACGTACAGTTTTCTTTCTAGCAAGTAATTTTCAAGCCAGGTGTAGATTATATCGTTTTGCATGATCGATTTAGTTTTATAAGCAATTTACAGTGTGACACTCTGTCAAACACTTTGGCGAGGTCAAGAAAGATTACATCAACCTGTTTGGAACGATTTAGTGTTTCAGCAAAATCATGGACAGTTTCAAGTAATTGCGTCGTGGTTGAAAGGCCATGACGAAAACCATTTAGATTCACGTTAACAAAGTTGTGATTTTCTAAATACGGTGCCCAATGTTTAAAAAACAACGTGCTCTAAGAGTTTAGAGCAGTAAGGAAACAAAGAAATTGGCCGGAAGTTACCTGGCAAGAGATGAGATCCAGGTTTGTGAACGGGAACGACTTTGGCAGTTTTCCATTCTACTCGAATAACGGACTCCGACAATGATTTTTTTAAATATAAGATAAAAATATTTCGAGCACCATTCTGCGTAGCGACCGAGTAACATATTTGAAATGCCGTCGTGACCAGCAGCTTTTTTTTTTTTTTTTTGTCGAAAGATTAAGCAACGCTGAAAACAGTCCCTCGGGAGAGATAAAAACATCGGGTAACACTGATAGCTTGAGTGACAGTTTTAGACAAAAAATAATGCGGTTATCTAAGGTGAAAACAGACGAAAAATAATCGTTGAAATATTCAGCGATGGCAGAGTCATCCGTAAATAATCTGTCCGAAACCATAAGTTTGGAAAAGCCGGGGACAAAGTCCTCCAAAACCTATCGGGTAGTTACCTAAGGAACGTGTGCAAAGTTATATTGTCATACTTATGTTTTGCAAGACGAATCATAGCTTTCTGTCTTGTACGCATTTCATTGATATTTAAAAGTCTTTTGCCATTCCTGGCACGATTGATTTTTTGTTTTAGACGTAGGATATCGCGCGTAGTAACTAGTAGTAAATAGTAGTTATCTTATTTTTAATATTTATAATGATTATAATATCAGCAATAATATTAATAAAAATTATAAGACTTAAATAATCTTTATTTCGTTTTATATTTCTAAAGGACTTGTACAAATGTTTGCATCAGCCCCAGCTTGACATAGGGTTGCCCAAACTCTCTTACAACAGACAATTTCAAAAATTAACAAAAATAAAATACGCAGGGGCATGTCACCCCGACTAGATAATAAAAGTGCGATATCATGCAAACAAGACGTTCAGCACAACAAAACCTTCCTGGGAAATATAGTTTCCTACATGGGCCCCATAAAGGGAAAACAACCCTACAGAAATTCCATTCACTCTCCCCTGCAACATGACCGCTGAATGCAGTTGATAGACTGGGAATGCCAGTCACTGAAATCCGCTGCAGCAACATGCCCAATGGGTGCGGCGAATAAACTGTGAATGCCTGGTATTGATATTTGCTGTTGGTGCATGGCCAATGAATGCAGTCAATAGACAGTCAATGCCAGTTATCGGAATTCATTTGCATAAACGTGACGTACAAAATAGGTGAATAGGCGGCGAACACAAATTACTGGCATTTCAAAAAGTTTTACTCCGCCTTTGCACAAAAAATAATAACGAAAACACACAGGCGTTCCGCTATCGGTACGGATGACGAATTGCTATTGGGTTTTGCCGTTGCTATACGGCCGATGAACGCGGTATCTGAAGTATCTCGACCTTTGGCATCACTAGAATTAACCGGTTTACAAAAAAAAAAAAAAAATTCCCTTTGCTGGTCATGACTGGTCATTCAACGTATTCGTCGGTCCAGTCTAAATCAATCATACCAAATTTTAGCCGACACCGGAACCAAGTATGTTCAACCGGGTGATTTCCTCATGTTTGCAAAATAAAAAGTAAATGCTCAAAGAAAACGGAAGAAAAATTTTTTCTCTCTCTCTCCTTGACTGAGGGCACACCAGCTGGCGCTTACTTCAGAGAAGGAACTCCGCGTATTTTTAATAACCTTAACACAGCTCAAAGGTGTCTATATAACCTTATCACTGCTCAAACGTTAGTGTGTGTTTATGTACTCTCTGAGGCGGAAACCGCCATTTGTGATTCCGGAGAAACGCAATGTTTGCTGCCCTTTTCCTCGGAATAACGCTCTTGCGTCAGAGCCAAGCGGGCATAACCCTATGCGAAGGCGATTTTCCCAACGCTACCGAGGTAAGAAAACATATAACCAGTTTGCGTGATGAACAACGGGTTTGTGAGCAGAATCGTCGCACAAGAAAGTCTTTTGTTTGCACGGGGAGACAACTTTACTAGGCAGGCGAGCTCGCTCGTATTCAACATAGTAGTATCAAAGACGTTTTGTTTGTTTAATTTCTTTAGCCTCCGTCTCGGCTCTTGGTACGTTGAATTGCGCACGAAGATTATAAGGGTAGTTTTTAACAATACCTTTCTCTTGCAAAAGTTGTCTGAAAGGTTTTTGTTTTGTTTTATATTGAACTAACAAACCGATTTTTTGTTACTGAGACATGCCGAAGGCTCCCCAATTAATGGATTGTAGTCACCGTGAAATATCACTTGGATCTCTCCGGGCGAACCAAGCAAATTGTTCGCAGAAAGGTCTGCTAACGTGGGTGAAGGACGCAGCTTTTCTGCTACAGGACATCATAGGGACAAAACAATAAAACAGTGTAATACCTCAAGTAACAGACCCGGATAAAAGCATACTGTCTGTTACGAACCGCGTATCATGTCTATAAAGTTTACACAATATTCTAGAGAAAAATTGTCCAACGCATTTCGGCCGCTTCGAAACAGCGGGACACAGGCGCAGACATCCGAGGTCCCTATAGCTTAATATTGCTGGCGATGCTTCACTTTACACAAATAAACAGAAATATTCAAAGTATGAACCTTGTTGGTATTTTTGTTTTTTTCATTTTTTTTTACCCTCGCCTTATTTTGCATGTAAACATCAACGTCGCACGCTGAACAAATAAAAAAGGTGATGCGGAAACCGCTGCTGTCCCTACGCTGGCTATCGTCGAAATGCGTAAACATTTAGCGCAGAGGTCCCGACGCGGCGAAAGATGGGGATTCCAACATTGCAACAGTCAGCATACTGTTGTTTTCGGAGAGCCAGTCTGTTCTTCCGGTCGTCGGTTGTTTCGGATGCGGCCACCACAACTTCCTTCAATGGCCACCTACGGTCCGCAAACTGTTGTCCTGGAAGAGCTAGTCTTTCCTCACAGGTGTCGGCGATTTCGTGCAAACTGCGTAGTCGCTGCTCGTCGGTTTTACGCCGTCGCGTTACGTCGTATCAACCCATCGACCACGCGATGCCCTTTACTCCCGCTGCGCGGCGCGTCACTGGAAGCGTGCCAGGAGGTTCTTCGCCTCTCGCAACGTTACTAAAACACCCAGTTGGAAAACTCACCCTTGAAACCCGGACCGCTCGCGTCCACCGAGACCAAACTAAATACGATAATGGCGCCACCCCTTAGCGACTCGTCAAAACATGAAAGTTCATTTATATTGCTACTGCAAAATGCCTTTGCGAGATGGCCCCACCGGCCCTTGGGCGACCCCACCCGAACCGATACTTGCAGACGTGCAGTTCCCGATGGGAGACGCTGCGGGAGAAATGAAGGCGTTGTGATCGCCATTAGTTCGGTTCGCGAGTACGGATCGAAGCCACGTTTTCAAAGCAGGCTCCATGGCAGTTTCCCAACTGAGCTGTTCTAGTAACGTTGCGTTCTTGTAGCAGAGAAAGTAAACGTAGCAAATGAATGAATGGAGCTAAAGAGCACGGCGAAAAACCGCGCGTTGGCTGCACAAAACTACTCCAGTCCAGTCCAAGTCACAATCTTGCAAACAACATATGGCTGCACGCACCAGAGCAATACATTCTAACGAATTTAATAAAGAAAGTTGGAAAGCATTCAAACTCATACTCGCCGAATCAATACGCCAAAAATATCGTTCCTTTCTTTCTCCGCTTTTTGCCGCTCTTTTTCTAGGAGAAAGTTCGCCTAATAAATTTTCTCTCGTCTGCGACGAAGTCATAATGGGGGGAACGCAAGCTAAAAGTTTGATAGTCTGCTTTTTCAATTTGGAAGCGATTGACAACCCATTGGGTAGCACAGTTCGTTGGGTCGACTTTTTCTCTTGTGTGGGAACATGTGACTTTAAAAAGCCCAACGATGCCAAGGTAACTCTAAATTTAACGTCGTTTGGCTAAAATCCTGGTTGGCCAAATAAATATCAAAGTTAGGCTTCCAATACTTTGGCTGTCATCTAGCGTTCTTCAGCCTAAACTGCCAAACACGTGACAGAGTTAGGCTTCACACCTTGATCAATTTTTCTGCGGTAACTTTAGGCATAAATCGCCTTACAAGTTAAAATCTCAGCTTCTCTAGTGGCTCTGCTGTTGGTAAGTTACCTTGCTTTGCTGCACGGTATCATTGAGTCGCACCCTAGATTACAACATTTTTCAGTGAAATTGCGCAGCAAAACAAAGCGACTTCTGGCCAATAAGGTGGCTTGTATTAGTTCGTCATCCATGGAACACAAACTGCAATTATCTCTGCCGCGCTGTGACACAAACTGGGGACGCAACTTTTATATTTGACATGTGATTTCTAAGCGTCAAACGAGGGTTGTCCTTCCGGCAGGCATCGCGCTTTTGGTTTCCGCATTGTCGGATTTCAGAACAAAATTTGACAATGAACAACTCCAATAGTGTGCTCGATTAAAGATTTTAACACACGAAAGTAACCACCAACATTGATGGCGTCCAATTCGCAAATATAAACGTGCGTCCTAAAACGTATAATTAAACGTAATTAGTGTGTTTTCACTAATTAGTCATATTTTAGTTGCATTATCTCTTGAACATAGTTTCCGCCTGGCTATATGACTCAATTGCACACACGGAATATACGTAACATTCACGGCTTAAAAAAAATTTATTCTATAAAAGAAAACTCCATAAGGGTCAACAAACGCAAGAACACACCTGTGTTGCTAAAAGGTAAAATATAACCACGAACACTGCCTTTATGTGACTTTATAGACGTAAGCTGAAAATAGCGTGATATTAGAAGAAGAAAAGTCTGGTAAACTTAAGGAAATCGCTGCGTTTAGCTAGGTGTCATTATTATTTTCTGCCTTGCTAAAAATTATCGAGCTTTCAAGAAGTAAATGAAGTAGGTTTCGATAGACGCTTTGCGCACAGCGCCTTCGATTTTTTTTTTTTTAATTTTTGCTTTTTTTGCAAAAACTAACCGGCAGTTTTTTTTTTTTCTTTTAATAAAAGATTAAAAAGCGCGAGCAAACGGGGACAACGAAGAACACACGGACAACAGGACAGGCGGTAATGCAAGAGGACTAATGCGACGAGCCACCTTGTCGGCCAGATGTTGCTTTGCTTTGCTGTGCGATGTCACTGAAAAAGCGCCCGTCTTGTCGTCCGTGTTTTCATCGTTGTCTCCGTTTGTTCGCGTTTTTTTTTTAAGACGATAAAAAACATTTTGGTTGTACCCTTCTATGTCACGGGCCACTATAAAGCTTGAAAGAGATGTTCTAAGGCTGCCACGACGAAGAGCAGAGAATTAAATAAATTTGCTTCATTGTCGGCTGGCACCAGCAGAACATAAGGAGGATTGAAGGAGATAAGTAGGAATAACTGACCCCTTGTTTCCGTGCTCCGCTGCCCGTCGCGCACTCATATAAATGTTCTTTCGTAGATGGATCTTTAGAAACAGTAACTCTCGAAGGGTTCCCTTAGGGCCACTGAATAAGCTACGCTTAATGTATCCACATTTCATTCCATAATCTGCTAGTGGGCTCCGCCATCTTAGTGCGTAGTTCAGAACGGGCACAATTGGAAATCGTAACGATTCAGAAGTGCGACTGCCAGTGCTTCAGATAACTTTTAGGAAAGCTCAAGTAATATTGTTTTCCTATGTCGCGGGCAGTTTTAACGTTTCTCGAGGACGAAGAGGTGTTGTTCTAATTTCAAATAAAGCATCAAATAACTGGAAACAATCATTTTAAGCACCGAGATGGCTGAGGGGCCGTTACTCTGAAGCGTAGCTTATTCAGTGGATCTGGGATTTTTAACGTCATCGTACCACAAACACCGAACCTTCCTATCTTTACCTTTCCTTTTTTCTATTTTTAGTCATTAAAGCGTGATTGTTTCCAAAGTGATTAAAAACTTAATTAACTGAAGGGTAATAATTTTTTTAAAGCGCCTTTTGGCGGAAACCAATAAGGCATCGACGTATTTTTTCTGTGATGCATACATTCCCATGAGATATTTGAACCGAATTTCGGGAAACACCGTCTGTATTAAAAAAAATACTCATGCAATACTTGTCCATTATGTTATTCTGCACGAGTTCTTTTTGGTGAACTTTACAAAGCGAGTTGTCTAAGATATTATAATTCTGGATTTCCGCCTTGATGCACTCTCTGAATAAAAACGGTAAAAACGAGTGTGTACATTTTACGACTAATTTATAAGGTAACAAATTTGAGAGGCAGGAAAAAAATGCTCCTAAGTCCTGCTCTATGATTTTTATCCTTGTTGAATTTGACTTCTTAGAGCCTAGCTCTTAGGTGCCCGTTTCCGGCTTCAGAGGTGTCGGCGTCGCCGTTGCCGTCCTATGTAACCGCGGGACGCATTATTGGACGTCTTCCATGATGACGTCACACGTGACGTCACGTGTGACGTCACGAGGGTCATTAGTGACGTCATAGATGACGTCACCGCGCGCTGCATTATGGGTACATGTTCCGCTGAATTTAGCGAAAAGATTTCCGTGCTAAATCTTGCGCAAAAAGTTCCCCGCTAAATTCCACGGAAAAAATTACCCGCTAAATTTAGCAGAAAGATTTCCCCACTAAATTTAGCGGAAAAAATCTGCGCTAATTTAAGCGGAAAAACGTCCCCGCTAAACTTAGCGGAAAGATTTCGCTGCTAAATATAGTGGAAAAAATTTCACCGCTAAATTTAGCGGGAAATTTTTCTCGCTAAATTTAGCGGATAATTTCCCCGATAAATTTAGAGGGAAAATTTCCTCTACATTTAGAGGGAAAATTTTTACCTTAATTTAGCGGAAAATGTTTACCTAAATGGGAGGCAAGCAGGAGAGGAGGGGGGGTACGGATGAGGATGAAGGGCATACCCTCCTCTCCGTACCTTCCCCACCTCCTCCTCAAGGGCTGCGCTCTAATTCGGCCTTACAGGGGATTGTAAACCTCTTCTTTCTTTTTAGATGCTTTTGTGGTTTTTGTTGTGCCGATATGCCAATATCTTACCCATTGAATAAACAAAAATACGAGGCTTACTTTCTATGCAGGTTATGTCATCATTGAATAGGACGTACCTGCTCCAATCGCTTCAAAATTACACTAGGTTGAAGTGCGCCTATCAAGAATTTTATTACAAAAATGTTTCAAGAGGCGGATTAAAGCACCTACACGATGCGGTGTATGTATACGAGGAAGACAGCCGCCGTCCGTAAGTAATATTTCTTAACCCATGCCCTTTGTCAACTCAAGAGTGAGCTTTGAAAATCTTAAATTTATAATACCCTACGTTACAGCCAAAATAACCCTCTGTATATTTGGAAAGTGGTCAACTACACAATACGCTTGGGGAGTAGATCTGGTGAGTTAAGAATTTCGTTGACGTGGTGATTTATTTGTTATATGTCAAACATAAATAAATAAAATTAATCTACCCCTTCGTAAACCAGATTTTCTGTTTAACTATGCCAATTTAACTTTCCGCTACATATAGACCCGTGTCTGCTCTGTTCCATGGGCGCAGCCATGTTTGTTTATGCTGAAGCCATGGCACAGTAGAAGGGCTGCACTTGTTGCAATACTTCGGTTTTTTAGAAGCCTTTACATATATCGTAGGGCAGAAACCTCAGAAATGTATAGCAATTAAGCTATAAGAACAAAAGCAATGCCAAGATTGCCAAAAAAGAAAGCAAACATCTTGTTTTATGCGCTGCCCCTCTCTTCACAAGACCATGCGTTTGAGATTCCATTTTTATCGCTGGGGTCTAGGATATTAGACAAGGGTGTATATAAGGAAACTAAGTTGTAATGTAAAAGGATTAAATACCTCTCAACATAAATCAATTCCAGTACTTAACTACAACAACTCGCACGTAATGTGTTGATAATATCTCAAAACCTTCCGCTGGGTATTTCTAATATTTACGAAGTAGTGCTGCCACAATCCATTCAATTTCCTTCAGATCTAGTTTTCCTTTCAGTTTCACGTTCCAGTGGACTAGCAGTGTGAAGGGTTTGATCTTTTAACTGCACAGGCACTTCTTAGATATAAAAGGGCCTTTACCTTTCAAGGGATACTACAATGAAATTTTGGCGCTAATTTTTTGGTCTATATGTGTTCAAAAAAGCACCATCATATCGAACATACCAATATCTTGTTAGAAAAGTCACGAAAAGGAATTTTAAAACGAATTAAACGATTAGCAAAGATCACATGGTGGATGTCGGTAACGCCTCGCTTGTAATGCCCGTCTAGGAACCTTGGCAGCTAGTGAGGGAGGTTGTCTCGCCTCCGGCCACGACGAGAAAAGAGGGGCAGGAGGAACTCCCCTCTTCCCGAGAATGCTTTTTTGTGTGTCGCAGAAGTCGCTATTGTTCCCCTACAAGATTATAGATGATTAAGCCGTCACTCAAAATTTTTACAAAAGCAGCCGCTTCGGTGGCTGGAACGACTAGGCCATCCTCTCAACGTCAGCCTCGCCGTAGCTTTGCTCGTCTTGAGACAACCTACGTCACAATTGCGTTGGATGTCACGTGGTCTCCGCTGGGCCTTCTCCGAGTGCTTGCCAGAGTGGGCCGTTTATAACGAAAAATACAGCCACCAGGCTCAAAATACAAACGTGCGATTGTCATTTACGGATATTGTGGATCATATTCAACCTATTTTTGAACACGACGGGAATATTTCAAATTTCGTTGAAGTATCCCTTTAAAGACCTAAAATGCTGAGAATATATTCAAGCAGCTATCATTGAATGTTTTATAGAAGACGTTCAACTGTCGTTTCGGACTTGAAGACCATAATAATATTTATTTTCCCGCTAAATTTAGCGGTCAAAATATTATCACTTGCAGTTATGTTATCATGCGACACCAGGACTTGACCGCATGATGTCAGGCTGTCAAGTGACCTGATGTCATATGACATCCCATAATATTAATTTCCGCGCTAAATATAGCGAGAAAAACGCAATCACAGGGTCGGGTCGTATTGTCACGCAATAAGTTTAAGTCATGTGACATTATTTTTTCGTATATTTTAGCAAGGAAAGCAAGGTCACGTAGCGTGACATCCCGGTTTCAGATGACGTGGCATGACATCTAGGCGTCAAGTCCTAGTGACACATGCTAATCTTACGGCACGAAATCCAACTATTTCCACGCGAAAAATATCGAGGAAATGCACGGAAGGGCGCACAGAAGGACAAAACGTGATTGAGGGGTTTTGTCTAAATGCAATTTGTGCCTTAAAAACAACCACACAAGGTGGTGTGCAATGACAGCGGCAGGTGTTGTGTTGTTTGCGACATTTGCTTTTAGTTTATGTGCCTTAGGATATCGACTTTAGGAGCTTTACTTTTAGGAGAAGATTTGTAACTGTGTTTTATGATATGTATGATTTTCTGGAATACTTTTACGGGTTGTGCCTCCTCCTCGCGAACATTAGGGTACTGACGTCCTTGCCGCTTACGCGGGGGAGTCGGGGTCCCCCACCCTTCGCAGCTCTCGTGTGGCTGCGGCCGCCGTCTTCTCTGCTCAGCTTGGCACCTTGCCGCTCCTGCTCCTTGGAGGGAGGGCAAATTTTGCGCCGTGTGGCCAAGGCCGAAAAGGGGGAAGGGGGGGCAAAGCAAGTTCGCTCGGAGTTGCCCATTTCTTGTACACGCTCCGGAGAACCTTCTAGAACCACGAAGCGGCCAAAGAGGAGGAGGATGTTTTGGAGCCGCTCCTGTGTGGACGAGGAAACGGGAAGTGGGGGGGGGGGGGGAAGGGGGAGAGAGACGTAGGTGAGAAAAAGTAAGAAAAAACGATAGTCCGTATTTTTGCTGCTGCGTACAAACCCTACAAGCCAGCAGTACGACACATGAGCCCCGACCGACGGAGAACCACCCGGTACCCCCGGTTTTATTTGTGGGGCCCGGTGGAGTTTCAGTTCTTGTCTGGAAAATAAACATCAGCGGGCAACCCCTGACCTCAGCCAAGCAGACGATGCTCTGTGCTGGTTTTGCCTGGACGTTTTTCTGTCGCTCTAATAAACTCAGTTAACCACAAACTTTACTCAGCCACCGCCACTCTTAAAACATAACAAATGGCGAGAAGAAGAACAATATCGAAACCAAAATTCAGGTGCCCAATGGTTGACAAGGCGATTTCTTACTGTTTTTAACTTCGTTTTCGTCAGAAAAAACTCGCAACTGGAAGAAAGGGGGCATCTATTGGCAACGCGTACATGGAGGTGGAGCCGTGAGCGAACTACGCAGGACCCTTGGAGCAGTTCTTCGTCGGTAACCGCACTGCCGACGACAAGCAGAAGACCGGGATCTTTCTGTCTAGCGCCGGACCAAGTACCTAAGGGTTACTTCAAAGTTTATCGACTCCAATAAAGCCAAGCAGAAAGATGTTCGAGATAACCCCGGGGATGCTGAGCCAACAGTTCCCACCGAGACCATCCGAAATAAGGGAACGGTTAAAGTTCAGTAGCCGCTCCCATCATGAGGAGAAAACCATTTCGGAATTCCTGGCAGCTCTACGGAAACTCACCGAGTTCTTCAACTTCGGCGACCACCTCGGCGATATGATTCTTAATCGACTGGTGTGTGATATGTGCGATGTAGGAGTGCAGAAGAAATTTCTGGAAGAGTCAGCGCTGACCTTCGAAAAGGCTACGCGCATAGCACTGGCAGTGGAGACTGCTAGCAAGAATGTATTGGACTTGAGAGGAAAATGGCCGGACCATCAGCAAGTCAACTAGGTGAGCGAACGAGGTGTGAAGAATAAGCATGTGGGACACGTCCCATGAAGCAAATCACATCAGTCTCAAGAGCAACAGCACAAGGAGTGCGGACTTTGTGGCAACAACGATCACGACCTAAAAATTCATCCTTTCATGTCAAGTGCGCGCTTTAACTGCACAAAAACTGAACATCTCGCAAAGGAAGGCAAGTCGCACTCTCAAGCGAGTGGTTCGGCACGCCATGGTCAAGCCAATATCCTCGCTGCAGCACGATCGGCACCCGTGTGTGAACAGAATCTTCGCGCCACCAACAGCGCCAGTGAGCTGTCATTGAACAAGTCATAGACCCTTCCGTTGAGTTTGAACGTAATTCGTTTCAACATGGAAGGTGATTTGGTTCCCCAGTATCGGTTATTTCGGTGTCTGCTTGCCAATAACACCATCAGTCATGGTAAAAAAATGGCCTCTTGCTGGACAAAGCTATCGTGCTGCCTGGGCGTCATACCACTTAAGGGATTCCTCCTCATAACATTGCAACACGAATGAGAGAGTGCGCAAGCGTCAGTCTACGTCTTGAACTGCAGAAACCCGAACTGCGAGGCCGCGACGTAATTGAAGCGCTACGTTTACTCCAGAAGATTAACTTCGCCGATAGGGAAGGCCGCGGGTATTCGAACTCAAGACGAAGTTAGGCGAGTTGACCAAGCTTGGAATAGGCCAAAGGTAGAAATCATCAGCGCACCGGCATCTTCGCCAGGGCGCTACACATAGATTCTTTAAGGTAAAGACTCTTCCTTTCGCGTTCGAAGCAAAGTTTCAGCTGAGCTGGACCGTCTCTACCAAAAAGGAATTATTTCGCTGGTGACGGATTCTGAATGAGCGACTCCCATCACGCCGGTAATCAAGAAAGACGGTTCAGTGAGATATCGTTGGGTCTTTGATTTTACACTGAATCCTGTTTGAGACATCCAGCAAGTCCCCACCCAAGAATCGAGGACTTGTTTGCTAACGTGAATGGCAGAGGGTGCTTCTCAAAACTGGACCTAAAAAATGCGTACCAACACGTTCCCCTCGACGAGTTGTCAAAGAAGGTGGCAGCGACAAACACGCATCGTGGACTTTGCTGCTACAACCGATTGCCCTATAAAATCGCCTCGACATCGGCGATATTCACACGCAGGGTGGAAGCACTTCTACGCGACCGCCCGGGGACGCAAGTGTTCTTCGGTGACATTCTGTTTGCAGAACACGAAGATCTCGGGCAAAACCTAGACAAATTACTTCGTAAACTGCACAGTAGTGCTGTCCGTCTTCAAGAACAAAAGTTTAAATTCCGAAGGCAACCGTCTACCGACCTCGTACACCAAATTGACCGCGGTGAGCTAAATCCTGAAGAACAGAAGCTAAAGGCCATCAAAAAAGTGCCAAATCCAAGAAATATGCAAGAGCGAAGGTCATTTCCTGGATTCTTCCTGTGTTATAGAAGCTTCATTCCACGCATGTTAACCATGCTCAACCCCTTGTATGACCTACTTAAACTGAATGCGAAGTGGCAGTAAGACACAGCCAAAGATACAGTGTTTAAAGAAGCAAAGACGCAATCCAGAACTGTGGATGTTTCGCTCATATTG